CTCTCGCTCTCTCTCTCTCTCCTCTCTCTCTCTTCTCTCTCTCTCTCTCTCTCTCTCTCTCTCTCTCTTCTCTCTCTCTCTCTCTCTCTCTCTCTCTCTCTCTCTCTCTCTCTCTCTCTCTCTATCTCTCTCTCTCTCTCTCTCTCTCTCTCTCTCTCTCTCTCTCTATGTATATATATAAGCGGAAGCAAATGTATCTATCTTTATTACCGATTCTCCTTTTTGACCTGCTTTAGGTGTGCTGAAAATGAAAAAGACTATTGCGACGTTCGGAGGATAGTTGCAAAGTGGAAGGTCTAGGATTCATGGTCACCCCACGCGTTAAAAAATGGTCACCCTTGCTTTTTCCACCGCCCAGCATATGACGTGCCCAGTGTTTTCGGTTTCCATCGATCTTTTTCAACAAATCAGGCGTTTCCGTTTAAAAGGACTACCATTCTCTAATCCTGACGCTTGCTGTTTTGCCCGTTTGCAGCTGGTTATGAGGTGTTGCGGCATTTTGGCAACGGGTACGGAAAGGCGAGAAAAAAACGAATAATTGATTTGTTTCAAATATAAATACGCATCCCTCATTATCTGATTGTCCGAAGATAGGTGAACAGCAAGCGAATTCAACCATCGTCAATCTGCGCATGCAAGGCATTTCATACATTACAGCCGAAATATTTCTGTTTTTGCCCCAAAACCGTCAGGGCAGCCGGCATGTGGCCCCACACCTAGTCCATCGCTGTCGTCGCGTCCGGTAGCCGGCTTCTCTGGCCCGCCGTCGGTGGTACTCTGGAGCCTGTCACCGGCGGCACCTGACCCCTGACCCAGAATAGCCCGCGGCAAGGTCATTAGCCGTGGCGCACGCGTCCTCAGTCACAGCCGGCGGACGCGGGGGGTCGACCTTGAAACAGGATGGGGAACCAGGGGAAGGAGCATCGGCGTTCAAATTTGGTAAAATGCGTCATTTACCCTTTAAATTCGGCGACAAGTCATATTCGTCCCATGCTTTCCATGGTTAAAGCATGAATGAAATACAAAATTGTTTTGCCCTGACACCTTTGGTGAGAGCTGACATGCTCAGAAAAATAAGCTGCAGCACAGCATCGGGCGCACCGAACCCGGGATTTTGGCTGTGTTGTGTATGAATCAGCAGGCCATCGAGAGACTAGTTAAGAAGTGGCGACCATTCCCGGTGAATAAGTTTGGACCACGCATTCATTATCTACCATAATTGTCCCGGATTCTTCCGTCAGTCTGCGTTTACATTGAGCATTCACAAAAGCTCTGCAACCATGCTCTATAAAAGGGAGCTTTATGCCGCTTGAATATCATGGAGGGATTTCGTGTGAGTTGATTGCTTTTTTTCTCTTTTTTCTATCACTGCATTTATCATGAGCTCCTATGCACGCCTACACTTAACATAATGAGTGCGTCTTTGAACGTTTGCGTTAGATGGAAGAAGTACGCGTGCCCAGGAAAAACTACGTTCCTGCTGCTAAATGTCCCGTCAAAGCGTACTAATGCAGCACATTAGCTCCATGGGTGTTCTTGGGTTTGGCCACACGGCCGAAGGGCGATAAAATTCTTCTCCCACGTTTGCCGGCAGGACAAGATGGAGCTGCTGGAGGACTGGATCGGCGACATGAACCAGCAGAACCGCACTCTGGTGGAGACAGTGAAGGAGCTGGAGACAGGTGCGCTGGACGGCGTTATGTCCGCCCTTCAGCCGCGGCACGAGCTGCGGCCGCTGTGCACAGAACAGTTAGAGAGGCGCGGCCTGCTTTGGCTGTGAATAGCTACTGTGAGACTCGTGAGGCGCTATGGTATTTCGCGGGCAACAGTGTTAGCGGTTTAAGGCGACGCAGTTCAGGGCTGAGTATTTGCAGCGTTTGGAATTCGAATCCCAGGGGAAGTGGATTTGGATTTGGATTCGGATTCGAATTCGAGGAGTCGAACACAGATTCTATCTGCATCGAAATATTGAATAATACAATGACAAAAAATGAGGACGGGCGACTCGGTCCTATGCAGAATCGACATGTACGTCGCAGCTCATTCTTTCACTGTTGCTCTCCTGTTCTTCTTGCTCCTGTTGCCCACGTCAGGATTCGAAAATAAGGTGCAAGCGTAGCCCTGTTTTGAATGAACAATTGGTTACCGATACATACCAACTACTATGCATTGGTAGCAGCACTTTTTCAGGGTGTGGGGGGAGGCAATGTCGATTGCAAAGTCAATCCTGATGTTGCAGCGCCCATGAAATTTTGATATCCAGACATTAATTCTTCTAACGTTGAGTGGTTGACTTACCGATCGAGGAAAACCACTACCAGGCCCTTCCGTTTCGGCGACAATGGTCTGCAGCGAATCAACGTCCTGTGCTGTATGTGGCAGCGAGGTCCGTGAAAGGCGTACTGCCAATGATCGCCCCACGGCTCTCGGTGGTGCCGGGGATCGCTCCACGGCTCTCGGTGGTGCCGGGGATCGCTCCACGGCTCTCGGTGGTGCCAGGGATCGCTCCCCGGCTCTCGGTGGTGCCGGGTATCGCTCCACGGCTCTCGGTGGTGCCGGGGATCGCCCCACGGCTCTCGGTGGTGCCGGGGATCGCTCCACGGCTATCGGTGGTGCCGGGTATCGCTCCACGGCTCTCGGTGGTGCCGGGTATCGCTCCACAGCTCTCGTTGATGTTCGGGTATCGCTCCCCGGCTCTCGGTTGGTGCGGGGGATCGCTCCACGGCTCTCGGTGGTGCCGGCGGGGGATCGCTTCACGGCTCTCGGTGGTGCGGGGAACGCTTCACGGCTCTCGGTGGTGGCCGGGGATCGCTCCCCGTCTCTCCGTGGTGCCAGGGATCGCTCCCCGGCTCTCGGTGGTGCAGGGATCGCTCCCCGGCTCTCGGTGGTGCCGGGGATCGCTCCCCGGCTCTCGGTGGTGACCGGGGATCGCTCCCCGGCTCTCGGTGGTGCCGGGGATCGCTCCCCGGCTCTTGGTGGGGCCGGGATTGCTCCCCAGCTCTCGATGATGACCGGGTGTCGACCTCCGGCAGAGGCGTCCCGCCGCTGTGAGATGCTGGAGAGCCGCCTGGTCTCCACCACTTCCAGCACCAAGCAGTACATGTTGCAGCTGCACCAGCTACAGCGGCAGGTACGTGCCAGAGGCGGCGGCGGATCTCACGTTCTCGGTTTGCCGTGTATGGGCTCTGCCTCACGTCTGGTTTTTACGGGCCGAGTCTGTTACAACCCGGCAACGGTGCTGTGCGTTGCCCTGTGTTTTGCGTCAGCGGGAGGCTTAGAGTCTTATTGATGCGTACACAACGCGCAAATATGTGCGGTATATATGTTAACGATATGCATGTTGGCCGTAAAAATGCAATGCCGTTGATGCCTCCTTAAAAACCCAATAACAGCACACTAACTTAAAACGTTCGAATAGCGAGTGCCTTGTCAGGAAAAATTTATTCGTGGTAATGATGAGAAGGTATTGTATATGACGTGGTGGGCAACCTTTTTTTAAAGACTTGTTCCGAACCCTTTGAATGGATGGATTTCCGGGATCATAGCTCACGCTAAGCAGTGCTTGTTGTGTGAGCCCTTACCCCTGCCATCCGATCGCGCAATTCCATGTCAACGGCAGAATTTTGTGGCGAAAGCTTAACGTGCCGCAATGGTCGGCACGGTTCGTCCTGCTCTCTGACGTCAACTGACCTTTGGCGCGACCGCTGCCACCGCCGCAGGCCATACCTATCAAGGGCAAATAGCGAGCGCCCTAAAGCGACTCGAACCCGCCCCGCCACGGGTGGGTGGATCGGAAGGCAGGCGCTCTAACCAACTGAGCCACCGGGACGGACCAACCCACCGACTTTGTTCTGAAACAGCCGTAAACTGTTGAGACATGTGAGGGACATTGGTACTACGGTGCTGTCCATGACCTACACTGCTGCACCGTGCGAAGGCGGCGTAAACGGAGGCCAGCTACGCTCCATTGGCACCGCAGCTCACACATGCGCCGCAGCTGCGAACGTGGGCCACTCCCCGCCGCAGGCCACAGGCGCGGCAGGGGCGATGGCGGACAAACCGCAGATCGATGACGTCACTAGTCCCACCCACCACCCGCCAGGCCACAGGTGCAGCAGGTGATGGCTGACCAACCGAGACTGAGTGACGTCCACTGGTCCCACTCCCCCGCCCGCCAGGCCACAGGTGCAGCAGGCACTGGCTGACCAACCGCAGACTAAGTGACGTCCCTGGTCCCACTCCCCACCCGCCACGCACTAGGCGCGGCAGGGGATGGCTGACTCAACCGCAGCCTGAAGTGACGTCACTGACGTCACTGACGTCCTCTCCTTCCCCCGCTAAGCCACTGTGTGGGCGCAGGACCTGTGTCCACTAGGGTCCAGGCCCAGCGTGCTGCCCGACTGTTCGCAGGTGGCAGAGAGGCGCGAAACAGCAAGATGGCGTCATTGATTGATTGCTCCCCTCGATGCCGGTCCCAAACCACGCGAGCGAGATGGCAGGTTGTTCCGGCCCCCTTCTCCTGCCCTTTTCCATGCTCGGCACAAGTGCATCCAGCCGAAGAACTTGGCCAACTGCAAGACAGATATGACATCACTGGTGTCAATCCACCACCCCGTTCCCCACAGGTTGCAGCAATGATGGCTGAACCGGCTAAGTCCGAAGATCCACGCCGGCGAGATGACGTCACTGATGCCACTCGTTCGGTTGGCCGTCCCTTCCCAAAGGTGCAGCAGCTGATGGCCGTCCGTCTGCATGCCGAAAGCCGGCGCGGGGAGATGACGTCACTGGTCCGACCGGCCTTAACGCTGAGAACGAGCAGTTGCGCCAACAGGTGGAGCGCGCCGGCGACGGGCCTGTGGGTCAGTGGGCCTCCTGGCGGGGCCTGCGCATGCAATGCTGGGCTCGGGTTAATGCGGTTCTCGTGGCTCACGAGGTTGATGGTAGGTGTGCGGGTAACGCGATCTTGATAGGTCAGGGCAGTGAAATCTCTGGATTGTTAGAAGACGCGGGCTTTGTCAGCTGTTGAAAGTCTAAACTGGCCTTGGAAGCACTACACTTTTAACTAACGTTTAACTTTGGTCTCAGTTCATTTTTTATGATTCGGAGAGATAGTAATAAATTCTAGGCTGTGTTTAGATGAGACGGTGGTAAGTCCTGAGGGTGGTTATCGCTGTATTGTAGGCATAGGTGTGATTTTGTTTAACACATGAGGGAACTGAGCTTACGCGTGGAATTAACCATCACCACCATGCCCGCGAAAAGATAAACCGCGCTTTAACTGGTTCCTGTAATCCTTCCAATATTTCCGGCAATTCTTTGTAAATTGGTGCAGACCATAACATGAGGCACCACTCATTCAGGGCTTTCGTGCTGCGGCTTTCCACATTCTGCGGTTACAGCAGCAGAGTTCTGGCCCATTCCAGCTCGTCATCTAATGCTCAACACAAGCCCCGTGCCGCACCGCCGACGTTGCTTTCACGATTCATCCGCATCCCGGCCACCAGAGGCGCTAACATAGATGTTCTATGCTGCAGAGGGCAGCACAGCGCTAGCCGTCCGCCACCGCAGGGAGTGGTCTCCGACGAGCGTGCTCGGCCACCGGCTAAGGTCAGTGAACCTTGTCAACAGCACCAAAGGTCGGATAGCCCGAAAACGTTCGGATGTTGACGATGGTTTCAAACTGCACCGGGGCAGCACGTTTGCTGGTGGACTGCGCCCACTGTTTACAGCAATATCCCTCCGTGCCCGCAACCGTAGCGTTGCACTAACGTTGACTCCTGCAGCAATGTAAACGAGGTGGACGAATTCTAGCTCAGAGAAATAAGTGGCTTAAACGTTTTTGATGACGTGACGCGACTGGTACGCTGCAGCGTATTTGTGACATGGCATATTTAGTACATTTGCCCGGTCGTCATCCAGACCTTCCTATGTTGTCGCACTTCAATTATCTCGATGATGTGCGTATATATATATATATATATATATATATATATATATATATATATATATATATATATATATATATATATATACACATACATTATTACATGTAAATCACATGCATGTTTTTATATAAACACAAATATATATATATATATATATATATATATATATATATATATATATATATATATATATGCAATTTGATATTAGCCAGTGGTACGTTATTTCTACCTTTAAAAGCATCATAAGAAATCTACTCCAATGTTAGTAATTGTACAACACCCTGTGACGTGCCCGCAGTGGCATCATTAAAGAATACATATGTGCCAGATGTTCCTGATTGTTTTGTTTTGTTTTTGTTTTTCATGGAAAATATGATAACATCTTAATAACAAAAATAAAGCAGATTTCGTTCCGCACCGACGCAGGATTCGGGTCTGAAAAATGCAGCTAGGGAAGCGGTCCATGACGTCTAATGCCGATATGATAGCAGGGATATCAGGACTCTGTTCTGAGACTGGCTCAAATGGCATATAGCAGAAAGTGATAAATCATGCGTTGGTAGCGTGCAGTTTTGTGACACAAACACACAAAATAGGACTTGCAGCATGACATTTCAGTCTTTCTTGGTATATAGCGAAGCGTGGTTTCCCACGCTCTCCATAGAATAAATCCTGGTCAGCGAACTTTGCAGCCAGCGTACCTGACATAGCTGGGAATCTACGAGACTCTTTGTGATGGATACACTGGGACTTACGGGGCAAAACGTGACATAGGTAACAGCTCATCACGACAATCACGCATCACACCTCAGGCTTGCGTGGCTCCTTGTGATGAAGGCCACCTGTTTCCTTCGTTCTGCATGGCCGCTCCACTATCTAGCCGTCCTGTGACGGTTGCGTTCAACATTTCCGATCGCTTCGATAACGATTATCACCGAGAGCTCCGACCGGTCGGGGTCAGCATCGCCCCGGCCTTGAGCGCGCCCCGAGCCGAGATACGGCGTGCCTCCGAGGCCCCTTGACCGCTCGCGACGGGCGAAGATTATCCCTCTTGACCCGGGAACACCAGGGGGTGCTCTTGGGTGATCTTTTGGGCGCTCCATCACCCGGCAACCGCCACTGGCACCAGCCGTCGGTCGCCGTTCATTCGCCACTGCCGCTTCCTGCGGCACATCTGACACTTCATTGTCATCCGGAAGCGACAGCGGAGCACGTTCTCTTGAGTTCTGCGTATAGAACCTCTGCGTTCACGCTCAACTCTGGCGGCGACGACAGAAACTACCACGTACTTAACGCCCTTTACACTCCCCGTGGTGCGGCCGCCGCTCTTATCTAAACAAGTGGAGCAGTCGGCCACTGGGCTCGCGCCTCAGCTGAGTCGGTGCGTGCGAGACGGCGGCGCCCGGTGAGAGGTGCTGGCGCCGGTGTGCAAGAACGCTGCCCCAGTTCGGTGGAAAGGTTTTGCAGCGGTGAGGCTGTGGTGTGGGGCTCGGCGTTGAGTGCAAGTGACTCGGGCTCCCAAGTCGATGGCAAGTCAGCTTCGGGTTTATTTATAGT